TATAACATGCACCATACTGGTAGTCTAAGCGTCCCGCGCTTCAGTCCCAGCTTATGATTGGACTTGGGGGTTACCGTAGTGGTAGTGTACAAACAGGTGTTGAGTAACAGCAAGGTTTCAGTACAAAGTACCCTTGCAATGCTAGCGTATACCGCCAGACAGAGGTGTTACCACAAAGTGTGTGATCAAATGAAGCAGGGATAGAGATTAAGTCCAACTATACTACTGTGATAGGCATGAAGATGCATTCACGTACGTGCTCAAGCAACTGGTGGAAGGCGTACGTGTGCTCGATGCAACCGCCGCCGGGAAAAAATCCAATGTGGCTAAACAGAATCAGTGAGTCATCCATACTGAAGTATACCGAGGAATTCAACCTTTCTTGCGCAAAACAATCTCGCAAATAATTTTTGATAGATTACGGGAAAAAAATAGTCTCAATGGCTCAAACCATCGAATAACCAAGCTCCCGTTCGTCATCTTCCAGAGCATGCCAGCCACCTGACCGAAATCAATGAAAATCGGGTACCAGACGAGAGCGAGCTGCAAGAAATCGATTTAAACGCAAATCGGTGGCGATCTATCAAACACAACTGGCAGTTCCCAAGTAAACTGTCTCTTCATCCGTGAAATCATTTCGAGGCCACTGCTTGGACGCAACTATTCATTTTAGCATTGCTCTATCGTCCTGTACCAGATTTACTGATTACTTTTGAGAAACATTAGAACATGCACCCAAAGGTTGCCGCCATTAAACACCGTCTGTATAGGTTTAACTGTCAATAACTGACCATCATTCGAATTTTTCTGATCAGCCTATGATCTATGTAATGTGCACTGCTGCGCATCTATGATCATGCCTCTAAGAGCGTGCGTCATATAGTTGAGAATAAAAGTTTATTTAACTATTCATGTACAGTGCAACTGTGTATGCTGGAAAAAAAGCAGGGCCAACAGGATGGTGAATGCGAAAAATATCAAAATCAAAGTGTTCCGGCGTGGAAGGTGAAATATCAGTAGTCTAGACATTGCGCTTTGTCCTGCAGCTGTGTAGTGTTCATCATTCCGATGAAAGTCTAATAGTCTTTCAAATGTCGCGATGTTGGTTGCGTTCACCATAGGTGTTGACAGTGCACTTCAGCGGGAACAGATTCGAAGAGAGCAAAAATACTTCCTGCAATCCAAACGGGAGTGTTGCGTCACTAGATATAGGTGATGGCCTCGACATTGTTTGTAAGGGCCTAGAGGCAGCAGTGATGCACATGGGTGATCACTCTCAATTAATATCCGGTATTTGAGAACGAGATCTCCGCCATCGGTATTCGGACAACACACCTAGTAAAGGAGGGTGCAGTTCGTAACTAAGACCCGATAGTCCACATGTTGCCTTGGTGGCTTTTCTTTGGGGCTGGGCCAACAGACCAATGTCTCGTTGTAACCAAATACGCCAGGCCTGAACCGCAGATTCAACGGGGGGACGAACATGTGTTAATCAACAGTGGTACTAGCCGTTTTTCAAAGGTGCCGAAAGCTCGCCTCAAAATTCTCAAGTTCAAGTTCGCCACATTTATTGCCTTTGAACATTGGGGCGAATTGCCAAGACTTACTTGAACGATGATACTTCAGTCTCGTTCACTAGTCAACTGTTGCAAAACGTGCTGTCCGAGAATATATGTGTTGATGAAGCTGATATGCACCGTCAGCAGGTGACACTGCAGGGTTCAGTGGGAGTTGGTTCGTTTCTGCCTATTCGTTAATCCGGTCCAGATCGGTCTGGAGATGTTGAGCTAATTGCTCTCCATATCATAGCATCATCTGCAAATATAGGCATCGGGGATCGAATGCTTGCTGGGAAGTTATCAATATAAATAAAAACAGTAGCGCATCAAGGAAGGATCTTTGCGGAACACGATTGGAGACGCACAGGCTTTGGGAACGACTGCCGGCTATTCTTACCTTGATTGTTTGCTCTTATATGTAACTTTCCAACCCGATAACCAGGGAACCGGTGATACAGCAGACACCAAGCTTTCAGATGAGAACTAAATGATGGACTCTGTCGAAATCCTTAGAAAAGTGTAATTAAGTCTCATCTAGGGTGACTCCTTCGTTAGCCGCCCTGGTCCATGTGTCCCGAGCAAGAAGCAATTTGGTGATACAAGATCGTTTGCGTCTGAAACCATGTTAGACATTAGAAAGTATTTGCAGACTTTCAAAAATCGCGTCAGTTCACCTGCGATTACCGATTTCATCACTTTTGATAAGACAGGAAGGAGTGTAATATGTCGGTAGCTGGCAACCCCCGATAATGTAGCTCTCTTGTATATTGGAGTGATAATTCCATTTTTTTCACTCGAATGGGAGTGTATGGGAATCAAGTAGACACTGGGAGAAGGCTGCAAGAAAAGTACTGCTATGATGAGGGCAAGGGTTTCGAGAACATTCGGGCAAATATTGTCGATTCCTTTGAACAATTTTTTCTCGAAGAGATTGCAATTTGCTTGCGACAGCTGCTGCGATAGACTGGCACTAGGAAACGGGTATGAACCAAACACCAAGGCGATATTTACAAAACACCAAAAGCGCTGTATAAAAGTGCGTAGGGAACTTGTCAGCCACCAATGCAAATGTGCCACATTTTGCATCAAGCAGCATAAAAGAGACGAATTAGACCGATCGCTGTAGGAATAGTGTTCGCGTTGCGCAAGTTGCTTAACCTTAACAGCGCAAGCTCGCTTGGGATCTCATCGAGCAAGGGAGCGCGAATTCAGCTTCAGGAATGAGTTCAGGAGGTCCAATTATTTTCTTTATCATCCTGACGAAACGATGAAAAAGGATGATAGAACAACGAAGTTTTTAGTTCATATGCTGCTCAATAACTACAACAGGGGATCGAAGTCCAATCGTATTAGGGCAAGTGGTTATTTTAGCTGGGCTTCATGTGGCTTTAGAAAATTGGAAATAGTATTGTCTTTCGGTGCATTAAGTGACATCTCAGCAGTTTTAACCAATTGCAAATTTTTGTGGGTCTACGCCTTGCCGGTTACTTCAGGGCCAACTTGAAGCGGGAGGTAGCAAACCAGTTAACAAAGGGTGTGCGGATCGACATATGATGCACACACTCTACATGCTGGCACACCGACCACACGATGTGGGTTGTTTGTGCGTCCAGGGAGTAGATGGAAAAGTAGGAGGAGAAGCCAAGCGATGACTTAGTCGAGAGGTACGAAAACGTTCACTTCGAAGTTGGCGGCGGTTGGTGCATGCCGACTGCTTGCCTGGGGCTCCAAGGACGATGAACACGTTTGGTCAGATACATTTGCTGATATGCCGAAGATGCGGCTCCAGTGGTATTTGTGTTGGGAGTTTATTTGTTCATCCCCTTCCCTTTAGATTCCCCTCCAATTACGTTCTCATACCCAGTGCATAAAATGATATTTAGCATTATATTACTTGCTTTATGAACATTTTGCAGTCCGTGATTTTTAGTGTCCTATCTTTTTTGGATTCCAATATATTAGCTGAGGTGTGCTTCTCACCCTCAGCTAACAGGTATTGATGATGACTCTACATTAATCGGGCCGAGTTTATAGACCGCAAACTGTTCTCAGTCATCGGTGATTCAGGAGAAAATGAGTATCAGCTTTAACCCAACGGCGGACGAAGGGGATAGTGAGACCGAATTTTCTTGAGCTCTAACCAAAAAAGGCACAGATAAAATGCGACCTACTGTGATTCGGAGGTTATATAGGAGTTCAAGCCACTGCACCATAGTAACAAGCAGCTTTGTAGGTTTCTCAGTGACGAGGTGGATAAATGCAGCTCAGAACGTACACAGTCCGGTTTGCATCCGTTCAAGAGTGTGGGTTGGCGGGAGAATATTCCGAAGATGATTGATGAACGCGCGACTTGCAACCGGACAAGGAGTAGCAGGCAAAGGGACGGCGTAATCCATCGTTAGACACCGAATCGGTACAGATCATCACATCGACCTTTACACAGCGTTTACGGCTGTCTACCGAAACGAAAACGCCACGGTACTGAAGTTTGTCCAAACTGTGACCCTTAATCGGCGCCGTCCCACTGTGCGTAGAGAAATAGCTAAAAGTAGCCATAAAGCTCGACATAGCTCAACCATCGGTTGATTTGTGTCGGTGTACATTTTCTCTGACCAAGTTCAAAAGGATCGTTTTCCACTTTCACGTGATCAATGTGTTGTTAGTTTGCAATTGATCAGATAACACGAAATGGTGCCATCTTGCAATACTCGTGTTCTCATTATCTTGTTCATCCGAAACAAATCTGCTCAGTGAGCTGGTGCACTGATGTTGGCCCCAGCTCGCTCCATCACTCCTTGTTTGTTGTAGCTGCGGTGACTGTCGCAAAACAATAAGAAAACTAAAACTGGAGCTGATCCTCGAGCAAAAGCAATTGGACAAGAAAAGGCACACAATATGCTGCAAAACCTATCTGTTGACACCATCTGTAAATGTTGTTTGTTCGTGCGATGTCTTGGGTACGTAACACAACGTGTCCCACTACTACGTCATTGTATTCCGTGGCCCACCAGAAGAAGACTAGAATGATTCGCACCAATGTGTACGGAAGCATGCAGTGCAAACGGCCCTACGCTTAAGTGTAGCACTGTGAGGAGTTAGTATACTCTTAGTTTTCACCAAAATAACCATATTCGTCTTCCGATTTTGACACATTAGGACATTAGGACTGGTGTCCACTAGGCCTAAGAGCCTGTAGCCAGTGAGTTAAAATGAGGAAGTGAGCTGATGAAGACAATTCAAGTCACTGGGCGTTTGGTTTCTGTCCAGCAAAAATCGATCGGTCTGCGGAACAAAATCTGACGAGGCTGGTATTTTGCCCATGTTACCCGCTATCAGAGATACGGTGAAGGGGGTCTAAAGCGAATTGTTTTAATCAAAGTGAAAAGCAGTATAACCGTTAAACTTTGCTCAAGGAGTACGAGAGCAATTTCAGCCACTCACTTGAACAGATGTGTTTCCAGGCGAAGTTTTCCAGCCTGATGTAGGAGGTTCTTCGGTTTCATCATCGTCGAGAGCCCATTCGGTCTCCGAACGAATTTGCAATCGAGACGATCCACTGTCGATCGATTGAGAGCGCAACACCACCCAGTTTAAACCTTCCGATTGGCACGATTTCCGCAGACAGACAAAAAGAAAAATGTTTCGATGATAGCTCAAGAAGTCTAAAGGGCAATATAGCTGAGCGAAAAAATACATTGAACGCTGACATGATCGGCAAAGCAGAAGTGATTCTGGGGGACATCCCACAGCGTCTGTACTAACCATGGAACCACCAATAAAACTGTCGTAAATAGAGGGTGAAGACCCTGCAAAAGGCTGAGAAGCATATCCGACGAGAATCATGAGACGGAAATGAGTGCTGAAAAACAAATCGAAAAATTGAGCGAAAGGCGTCGGGGTGATATATGAAATCCATTTTGGAAGAGCGCTGAATAGTTAAGATATAGTACTAAGTGAATAAATTTGACTCAGGGTACATTGGCCTAATGTAAACTAAGCCACACTAAATAGAAGTTCGAGCAGCTCGACCTAAGGTTTGTCGACGGTTAGGTTCGATTAGGCAAGGTCAGTTATCATGGACGATCCGGAATTTCCACTGATGTGGTGACAGAACTTAGTGAGGAGCTCACACCGAGGCTTCGTTGCCATGCAGTTAAACGCAGTACCCAGCTGGAAAATATGCACCCTGATATTCAGTCTGATCCACCGATGATTGAGCTTTAGCAAAATCTCGCGGGTTGCTTGATTTGGTTAGCTCAGAGAACAGTAGAGTTAATCCAAAGGGGAACACATGTATCAGGTCACTTCTCGACCCGCGCCGATTATCGCACAACGTTTAACGTTCGCACTCACTAACTGGTATCTAGTCACTGTACCAGTTCGACACATATGACCTCTATATGCAGATAGGGATTAAAGGAATAAGAGTACATCCTGAATGTGACACCCTGCATGTTAGTGCGAAAAATGTTCCCATCTTGCCATAAAGGATAAATGGTCTGATATGGCTGATTCGAGTTCTCCCTAAGGGTTAATCTTTATTGTGATCACATGTTTATAAGTATCAAACGAGAGAACTGTGTTGGGGTTGAAAAATACTTTTCTGACATGCAAACGCAATGTCTATACGGGAACACGATAAAGGGGACTCAGTCATATCTGAAGTAATAATATAGTGAATGAATTTCGCCACCAAAAATATAAAGTAAAACTACGTGTTACGACCCGAGAAAGAAGGAACAAATGAAGGGTTTAAGCTTAATGTTGAACGAGAAAGTTGGTAACTAAGAGAACCAGGGAATATCACAAATGGATTATTGGAAGAGAGAAAATGTAAGAACAAAGGGGATGCAATCAGCAAAAATGGTTTGTAACGAGAGTGGAGCAGTGTTCCCGATCGTGAGTACTAATAGCAAAGATGACACAGAAGCTAGCCGGAATCTTCGATATCTAAGTGTGTCGGACAGTAGATAAGGTAAAAAAAACAAGACGGTTGGACCCAGTGGGCTGTCAAAGGTGGAGGATAGATGAAGGGCAGCAAAAAACGCGCAGCGTACAGCTTGTCTGAAAGATTTGCACGATAAGAAATTGCATGCAGCAATACAGATGAAAGCTGTGCAGTAGTGAGGTAGACACAACCTAATGTTACAAAGTGCTGAAATAGGAGTTGTCTGCAGACCCAATAGCAGCTCCGACGGCAATCCCAAATAATGTAACGTAGGTCATTTAGCCAACAGAGACGGCATGTACAGTCAACGGGGATGGCTGTGTCAACAAATATGAGGATGCGAAAACTGAGATCTGATTAGATCGCAGCGGTGGTGCCAACGAAACTATCCAAATGTGATGTCAGTGTTACAGATGTATAGAACAATGTTGCAACAAGCGTTCGCTTGGACGTCTTGAACCAGCGAATTTTGTTACTAGAGCAAGGTCCAGTACATAGAGTTAGGACCGCTCTTATCTGAAGTGATCCCGAACTAACGAGCACGCCTGGACAGCGCAATACTTAAGAAAAAAACAGTAATAATAGAGCAGCTAAGTTAGCAAATCAAAAAAAACTTCGATTACCGCAAACATACTATACAATTAGTTGGTCCATATAGGGGGCTGTTGTTGGTGGTGTGACCGAGGAATGGCTGGAGATAAGTATGTCGGCTGCGAATCGGACTACAGACCGTTGGACGGGGACAAGCTGCAATAGCTATTGCGGTCGTCTTTCACAACATCCATGTGAAGACAACCGTAGAAGAAGCATAGTCGAAGTACGCACGTTCGATCGCTGAACAATGGTTTTACTACGGATAAAAAAGCAATACGTTTAACAGTTTCCGTAGGCAGTGAGACAAAGAACAAAGGTATCAAGAAAAGAGAACGCGTAGCGGTGGAATTATCGTAAATTTTAAGTGAACACATAGTTTGATTACTTCGTCCCATGTCCCAAATAACTGGGTCAAATCATATAATGCAAGTGGTGTAATGCATCGTCAAGTCGGGTTTTAAATTCCGCTAACGTAGGAACGGAGATGACCGAATGCAGAAGTAAGTTTCACGGCTGACATACAAATAGAGAAAACGTACCGTCGGCATTCCAACCGGCTTTAGCGTGTGGCTACTTCAAACAGTAGCCACTCAGTGAGGTGTTGTGGCTGAGACGCATTAAGGGTCGGCATAGATGGTTAGGAACCTTAAGGATCTGATACACCAATACGTGATCACCTCGCAGAAGACTATATTGTTCGCTGAAAACTACTAGTGTCTTTAGTCTCAACTGGTAAGGGAGGTGGCGCAATCCCTTTTTTGCCTCTCTTTTCGTTGCGGCTTCTCAAGAGCAGTGACGTCACGTTTTTGCCAAGGGTGCAAAACCATGATGGCATACCCTATATGTGACCTCACGTAAGGGTTTAGCCTTTGCAAAAAAAGGTAGGATAAAGCCAACCAGATGCCCTCCGCAATAAACCTAAGTGTTGGCTGGCTTTTTCACTGCTTTCTCAACCTGTCTTGAGTATCCGAAATCGTCTTGCATCATCACTTCAAGATCGGTTTCAGGAGAAGCGCGAGTATTCTCATAGTCGATATTCATAAGTGCTCTGGTAACGTATGCTCGTTATTTTACATATGACAAAGTCACACTCAAGCATGTCCAGAGCAGATTGCTTGTAGGCCCGTTGAAATCGCCTTGCAGTGCTTTGTGATCACCTACTCGCTTGATTGCCCGCCAAATCTTCAGATCGTCCGCAAAGAATCGTTTGACATCAAAACTTCCGCGAGATGGTTTGTGAACACTAGGAATAGTCGTGATCCTAGCACCGAGTCTTGAGGAATACTACAATGCATTTCTATCGGGTCGGACAGAACACTACGAACTCGCACATTCAAGTGGCGCTGGAGCAGGAATGAATGTATCCAGCCCAGCCCAGGACAGAATCACTGATCCTATAGCTCAGAAGCTTGTAAAAAAGTGTACCGTGGTCTAGACGATCAAAAGCTCTAGGGAAATGAAGGTAAGCGGCGTCGACTCATTCTCCAGCATCGTCGGATTCCGTCCAGCTGACACGGGCTAACAGAAGGTTTGTCGTACCTGAGCGGTTCAGTCTGAGCTTTACGACCTCCATCTGCCTCTCCGCTTCCATCGCAATGAGGCTGGACCTTACCGTGGTGTGATGGTTTGTGTGCCTCAGCGATCCACTGAGCTATGCTTTGTGGTGCTTTTGCACCTTCAGAGTCACTCATACCAGATTGGTCAATGGTTAGAGGTCAGACAAACTCAGCCTCCTGGTCCTCCAGGTTAGGGGTTGGAATGAGGGTGGCTCCTTATTCCTTAAAACGGACTCCTTGTAGTCCAGTGCCAAACCCGCTGCCTTGCGGTCAGGGTTTTGAACCAAAGGTTTTGGTTGAGAACCCTAACCCTTCTCCTGTCTAGGCCTGGGCAACCTGACAGTATCCTGCCCACGCAATACTATGAATCATTCGTCAATTTCTTGATGCTCTGGCCACCGCAGAGGATAATCAACGGTGCCCTATCTGCTGCATCGAGCAGGGTGGATAGGGGTTTGGATGCTAATTCTCAAGTCTTCCCATCTTCTTATTCCCCCTCTTACGCATTTTCACTCTCACCGTCCCGTTCGAACTTTACTTATATCCCCGTTTTCAACCCCTCGATTCTTGGCCCTCCTCAACATGCTTTGCTAGGCATTTTTATTCTAATTTCAACACATGTGAACCAGGAGCGTCACTCCACTCCTGTTGACAAGCCTATGTCCAACCAAGCGGTCCATTCTAGTTCATCGGCTTCCATTTGGAGCCCTCGATCCGCCTTCAGATTGGCATGCCTCAATGTCCGCACATTACTACAGATCGGTCAACAGGCAGCACTTGCCCGAACATTGCAGACCCTCTCGATCGATATCTGCTGCTTATCGGAGACCCGCCTGCAAGACTCGAGCTCTGTGCTCACTTTGCGATCCACTTCAGGTGACGCAAGCAGTATTTTCTCATTGCGCCTATCCGGTGACGATACAGCTTCGAGCACCGGCCAAGCTGGTGTTGGCATTGCCCTGAGTCCCCGGGCTGAAGCCGCTATGGTTGATTGGGTTCCAATCAGTAGCCGGATGTGTGCGGTCCGATTGGCTGGCTCGTTTAAAGCTTCGAAGTCGCGCGGGACTAATAGGTGTCTATTCATCATCGCTGCCTATGCGCCCACAAACTGTAGCGATGATTCGGTAAAGAACGACTTCCACCGCCAACTGACGCAGCTCCTTCGCCACAGAAGAAGCACGGACACTGTCGTGCTGGCAGGGGATTTGAATGCGCAAGTTGGAAAGTTGTCCACTGACGAAATGCATCTGGGCGGTCAGCATGGTGTAGGCTCTCGTAATGATAACGGTGAGCGGTTACTTCATTTGTGTGAAGATGCTCGCTTATTTCTTGCGAGCACTAATTTCAGACACAGCACCCGCCGGAGGGTGACTTGGCGCCCACCAGCCTCGAACCAGCCTTGGACGCAGATCGATCGTATTGCTGTCAGTTACCGCTGGAGAGGCTGCATCCAGAACTGTCGCTCGATTTGGAGCACATGTGTGGACATTGATCATGCACTTGTATGTGCTGACATGCGGATGCGTTTTGGCGGACGCCCACGACGACGCTGAGAGTGCACTGACACCAGCTAACTGATAAAGCTAGCTGTTCTGAATGCGTATCGAAGTACGCTGACATGCGAGTTGAGTAAGCGCTCACTGGAGACAAATGATGGTCACTGGTCACATGTGCGCTAGACCTTAATAGCAGCAGGCAAATCATCATGTGGTATGTCTAATAGCCAACATGCATATTGGATCTCTTCGCGGTCTCTCGAACT